ACTTGGTCATTGCTTCTTTATACAATAAATTTACCACAAATATAACACAACCTCTTGTTGCCATAACGACGAATAAATAATATTTTTTTAGACAGTTTAGAACAATCATCAGTACTAATCATTCCTCAAATGCAAACAAAATGTAATAAAAATTAAAGAAAAGAATAGAGAACCACCTGGAAAGTTGAACTTTATGAAACTTAGATTCAAACAGCATCATTCAAAATGCATGTAAACACAAACTGATGCTTGTGAAATAATGTGAACTTATAAGTTGCTTTGAGGCGAAGAAAAAAACTCATCAATTATGCTTTTGTTGCGTCAGGGAGGTCACGTGACTAGTATCACGCCACCTGTTTCTAGAAATATCCAGTTCCTTCAAGAATGCCCGAGCATTTACTAGATATGAATTAGTCTTGTATATATAAGACGTTCACAACGCGACGGGACAACAGTGTAATGCGTAATTGAAGTGCAGTCAGAGAGGATATTGTTAAGCACGTGAGAAGTTTGTTGAGAATTATAGCGTTGTTACAGAGCGACTGTTGAAATTAAATGTATCGTAAAGTTATATTCAGAAAGAATAAACCAGTTTTATTTAAGAAAGGACTTGTGTCGCTAAAGTTTCGTCGGAACGAATTTACGGAAAATTAATTAACAAACGGAGACGTAACACTTTAATTCAAAAGCCACATATCGACTATTCTAGGTAAGAATTTCAGAATTTAACCATGACACAAAGCCCACTATTGATTTTGCAAGATATCCCACGATAAAGACGTCAAAACTACACTGTCATGTATATATAATTACATCAGTTCTTAACTTCATAAAAGTAATTAACTGCTGACCATGACTAAAAACAAAATTACAGCTTTATTTTCTATTGATGAAAGAAGAAAACAAACGAAATTAAAAAAAAAACCTTCAGTTCAGAAAAGGTTTTTATGTATTTACCTCCTTTTTCTAAGCTATTTTACCACGTGTTAATTTTAGGGTTAGTTTGGTTTGTTTCGAATTTCATGCAAAGCTACGTGAGGGCTATCTGCACCAGCAGTTCCTATTTTAGCAGTGAAAAACTAGAGGGAAGGCAGCTAGTCATCACCACCCACTGCCAACTCTTGGGCTACTCTTTTACCAACGAATAGTGGGATTGACCATCACATTATAATGCTCTCACGGCTGAAATGGCAAGCATGTTTGGTGGGACGGGGATTCTAACCTGCGACCCTCAGATTACAAGTCAAGCTCCCTAACCACCTGGCCATGTTTAGGGTTAGTAACCCCCAAATTTCATTTCAATGATGCCTAACTTAAAATGACACAGTTACAAAACTTGACATTTGCATGTTGTTGTTTTTTTGTTAACGCATGGAACGTGTGTTAACAGTATTAAAACAGGTTGACACAGAACTTCTAATAAATGTTAATGATCACTTTATTACAAATGATTTGAAAGACCAAAATTCCAACATTCAATCAAACAAAATGTCCATACTGACTTCAATGACCCTAAATCTTGAAAATAATAATGCTGAGGTTTTCATAAAACAAAGAAAATCCTTAAAATTATCACAGAAATAACTGATGAATAACAAAAAAAATATATTTAAACAATTCAGTGAATTTCAAAGCACTTGAAACGACTGCTTAAAGAAAGACCTTCAAAGTTTTTCTGAACACATAGTCATGAGAAGAGGTCCAGTTTTTACTTCTAACTTCACAAACTCGTATGGTTCTTTCCATTTTACAAAATACTTACCATTTAAGCGAAGAAAACAAAACAAGCTAATATCATTCAGGATCTAAGTTCCAAGAAGTTCCTAACGATTTTTAAGAGTGAATGTTTTCCATTCTGCATTAAGTGGAAGAAAAAAAATATCAAAGTAAAATTAAGAACTAACTTTTACAGTGAAACCACCCTGGACTTAATG